GCAATGCAGTAACTCACCAAAATTCTACCAACATCTACAGACTTCCACACCCAACCCCTCAAAGCGAGGAAAGCAGACACACAAAGACCATCAGCTGCAAGAGCCCTGCAAGTCGCACACTATCCAAGTTAGATACTTATTGCCTTTCTTTGAGTGTTGCCAAGACAAAATCCTGGAACTTCCTCCATTGCAGCACTGTAGGTGTACCTACCAAAATAAAACAAATGAATCACACCCACCATAGAGTTAAAGAACATGGCAACAGACCCTCCGGTCCAACTAGTCCATGTCAAACATAATCCCAAACTAAACTAGTCCCACCTGCCTGCTCCTGGCCCATATCCCTCCAAATCTTTTCTATTCATGTATCTATCCAAATGTCTTTTAAATAATTTTGTAATTGTACCAGCATCCACCACTTCCTCAGGAAGTTCATTCTACACTCAAATCACCTTGCATAAAAAATTTGCCCCATGTCTTTTTTATAGCTTTCTCCTCTGACCTTAAAATGTGCTGAAATCCCACAGCATAAGGAAAAGACAATGACCATTAACTCTATTTATACCCTCATTATTCTATAAACTTCTATCAGGCCACCTCTCAATCTCCTATGCTCTAGTGGAAAAAGTCCCAGCCTATCCTGCCTTTCTTTATAACTCAAGCCTTCCATCGAACTGGGAGGTTTGATAGCAGACGTTTCGCCCTCTTACTAGGGTGACATTCTCAGTGCTGTGGAGCCTTCTGTGAAGCATGGTCTTGTGCTGGTTCAAATGTAAATGGTTTGTTTTTTGCTGCAACGACTACCAGCATGCTTAACTACCACCAGTTAATAACCCACAGGCCAGAGAAACAGCAAGGCAGAACAGCTGCAAGATGATACAAGCCATGATCACAGATGCCCATAACAGACTCCACAAGTACAAATAAGAAATTACGCGCTAAAAGTCATGAACTTCAAAAGCAACCAAACAGGAGTAGATGACAAGAATCGACTGGGCCATCACAACAACAGAGAGCAGGACCACACACACAAAAGAAGAACAGCACTACAGAAAAAAAAATGACCAAATTGACCAATGACAGAGAAGACAACATGACCAACAAATGGATAAGAAACCTCCCTAACAGACAGCTCACAGATACAGAAAAAAAAACAGTACTAATCAAAGGACTGAACTACAACCACAGACGCAACAGAATCCACACTCAAACAACGGACTAAATGAGGAAACACAACAAACCATCAGACAGACCACAGTAGGTCAGACCCTACTGACAAAGGGAACACAAACAAACAGACTTAACAAAGAGGAAAGGGATGCCCTGAAGAACCTCAAAAAGAACAAAAACATCATTGTTCCCACCGATAAAGGCAGAATGACTGTGGTAATGAACAAAACGGACTACATACAAAAACGCTGAAGAACTACTTGCAGATACACAAACCTACCAACAGAGGGAACGGGACCCCACACCACAGTGAACAAACAGAATAACCAATACTCTACAGAGCCTATACAAAACAGGACAGATAAAAACAGAATTACAAAAGATGAAACCAGAAGACAACAACACACCAAGATTCTACAGATTGCCTAAAGTACACAAGCCTGACATACCCCTCAAACCAATTGTGGCACTACCAGGAACCTCATCACACAAAATTAGCAAAGGAACTACAACAAAAGCTTAAACATCTAATCAGTAGTTCAAGACATTCAACACAAGAATTCCTCGACAACATCAAGGACACAAAAATCGACAAAGTAGCGATGGTCTCATTCGATGTAACAGCATTGTTTACATCAATCGAAGAAACCTTGCCAAAAGAAACCATATCCAACCTTTAGACACAACAGACGACAGGGCGAAGAACAGATCAACAAAATCTGCATACTCAAACTACTGGACTTATGCTTAACAACACACTTTACATTCAAAGGCAAGATATATGAGCAGATCAACAGGACTCCCATGAACTCACCCATCTCCAGAGTGGTAGCAGAGGCAGTCATGCAAAGATTGAAACAAACAGCCCTCCCACAGATCCAACACGTGGACAACATGTTGTAATTATGAAAAGAACAGAAATTGAGAACACCCACCAACTCATCAACACCATACTCACAGGGATCAAATTTATAAGAAAGGAGGAACACAACAACAAACTCCCATTCCTGGACGTGATGGTGAAAAGAAAAGAGAACGGTGACTTCACTACAAAAGTACACAGGAAATCCAAACATACTGACCAGGTTTTAAACTATCACAGCAACCACCCCAACTCACAAGAGGAGTCCAGACCCGAGACGTCAGCTTTCCTGTTCCTCGGATGCTGCTTGGCCTGCTGTGTTCATCCAGCTCTACACCTTGTTATCTTACACAAGGGGAGCTGTGTTAGGACCCTGTTCAAAAGGGCCACACACACTGCAGCATACCTGATCCGTAGAAGGAAGAAGAACATCTCTACAAAGTTTTTACCAGAAATGGATACCCCCAGTTTCATCCACAGATGCCTAGCCAACAGACAACACAACTAGGACACACCAAAACGTGAAACAATAACCACCATACCAAATATTAAAAAACACCTCAAAAAACTGACAGCCAGACTAATCAGACCACTAGGACTCATGACAGCACACAAACCAGCAGCCACACTAAGACAGCACTGACCAGGGTTAAAGACCCAATAGATACCATGGACAGGACGAATGTGGTTTACAAGATATCATGCGGAGACTGCACAAAACACTACGTGGGACAAACAGGCAGACAACTACCAACCCCATCCATAAACACCAGCTAGCAACTAAACAACACAACCAGATGTCTTTGGTTTCAATACACACAGATGAGGAAAAACCACACTTTCAACTGAGACAACACTACTATCATAGGACAAGCCAAACAAAGGACAGCCAGGCAATTCTTGGAGGCTTGGCATTCATCCGCGGACTTCAACAAACACATTGAATTAGCTCTAATATACCGACCATTACAACACACAACTGGAAGCAGCAAAAACCATACCGTATAAATGTGAACCGGCACAAGACGACAGAGCTTCACAGGAGGCTCCACAGCACTGAGGATGTCACCTCCCAGGCCGACAAAACACACCAACATCTACAACCAGCACGTAAGCTACAAATCTTCACTCAAATCCTGAAAACCTTCTACACACAGCAACATCCTGGTAAATCTCTTCTGAACCCTCTCCAGCTTAATATCCTTCCTCTAACTGGGTGACCAGACAGCATGCAGTATTTCAAAAGAGGCCTCACCAATGCCCTGTACAACCTCAACATGACTTCCCAACTTCTATACTCAAACAACTGAGCAATGAAAGGAAGCATGCCAAACACCTTTTTAACCACCTTGTCTATATGTGATGCAAATTTCACAGAATTATGTACCGGTACCCCTAGGTCTCCCTGTTCTACAACATTATCCAAGGCTCCACCATTTATTGTACATACCCTACCCCTTGTTTGTGGGTGCAAAATACAATACCTCACATTTACCCAGACTGAACTCCATTTGCCACTTCTCAGCCCACTGACCTATTTGAACAAGATCCCTTTGTAATCTTATAAAACCTTCTTCACTGTCCATCATACCACCAATTTGGTGTCGTCCGCAAACTTATTAACTATGCTTTCAGTATTCTCATCAAAACCATTTATATAAATGACAAACAAAGAGGACCTACTACCAGTCGCTGTGGAACACTGCTGGTGACAGGCCTCTAGTCAGAAAAGCAACCATCTACCACCACTCTGTCTTAATGGCAGGAGACAATTATGTATCCAACTGGCAAGCTCATCCTGAATCTCATGTGATCTAACTTTATTAATTAGCCTATCATGCAGAACCCTGTCGAAGGCTTTACTGAAGTCCACATAAACAACGTCTACTATTCTGCCTTGAATCCTTTTGAGTTTTTTTTTGAGGAAGTTACCAATCAAGTTGGAGACACAATTTTGCTCGCACAAAACCAGGCTGACTAGCCCTAATCAATTTTTGCCTCTAAATGTCCCACTTTCTAAAGAGAAATTAGGAAAGGTCAATAAAAATTGCTAATGACACCCACGTTCCTATGAAGGAATAAGGTAAAAAGGTTACAGTCAAGGTGCATTTAATACTCCAAACATATGCTGATCTTTACAAAATAATCTCCAAACCACAAAATAGTAAATAAATTTAAAAGTTAGATACATGCTGGCCAAAATGAAGCTATTAATTTTAAACCTAACTTTCAACTCTTGGTCTACAGTTGTGGGCACTGGCAATTTTTCTATCATCTGAAAAACGTAGGTGATGTAGCTCAGTTAAGTCTCAAATCACTGACGATTTAAATCTAAATCTAGACTTTGACACAAAACAGTAAAATGGACCAAGTAGTAACTGGTAGCGAAACTTGGCAGACTCCTTACTATATTGGCAAGTTCTGCTTAAAAAACTACATTACTCTGAATAACTAAATTAACTCAAAACATTAAGTATGAAGTGCTGGAATACTTTTCATGACTTCAGAGAAAACTATTGTAGCAGTGGATTACCATGGAAAAAATAAAAAAAAAGAACAAATTTAGTTACTTATTTATTTAAACTCAGGATGAATAATGAGCACAATGTCATATCAGACTTGCAAGCCTTGAAAACTCCTAGTGTACAACCTCACAACAGAAGCAATGTTTGCCTAGAACTGAAAAATTAATAGATACTATTGCCATAAAAATGAAGATGAAAAATGCTCCACCCTCAACATGACACACCTCATTAATGCAACAATCAACCCCACAAAATACATAAGGTTGACAAAATCACAGTAAAGCTGAGAACTGTATTCACTTACATGTGGGAAATACAAGATTAGACTTTTTAAATGATGAAATTCAGATCTAAAAATATTCCACTTTTCCCAAAAGTAAACAGAAGATACAAAGAAAGGAACAGTATAGAATCAATAAAAAAAACTGAAGTTATTACAGTACCTAGATTTTTGTCACCAACATAACCAGCAATAGTTATGCCTAGTCCATGAACATCTTTTGTAAGTTCCACATCGAATATTTCACCATCAACACCCTGACAACAGATTGGTTCAGGCTAATTAAGGAAAAAAACAAAAGTTACAATATTTATACTCTATACTCCCAGTTCCAACAAAGTAGGATTATGCTATAAATACTTCAATAAGATTCAAAAATGCCAGACAATGGAAATCAGAAATTAAAACAGAAAATGCTAGGCATCATCAGCGTCTATGGAGAGAGAAAAGCAGAGTTATTATGTGTATTTTGATGGAAGATCATCGAATTGAATGGGCATGATGGAATGTTAGTTTTTACTAGTTCTGATGAAAAGTCATCAACCTGAAGCTTAATCTTTACTTCTGTTTATAGATTCTGCCTGATCTGCTGAGTATTTCCACCATTTTTTTGAGACAATGAGAGACTGGTCAACGGAAAAAAAATTGCTGTTTATAAGCCTAGTGGGACACAGTAAACCACCCCACTCCAAATTATCTTTTAAATTATAGCTACTTTGTTTTTCTTACTTTTGTTGACTGCATGTAATCTTGTCAGTATCAATCCAGTCAGTGACCAGAATTTTATTTGTTTCACCAATGGCAGCCATACAGTCTGTGCTAACCTTTGGAATTCCTTCCCTAAATCTGTCTCAAACCCATCCTCTCGTTAGAGAAAACAAGGTGCAGGGCTGGATGAACACAGCAGGCCAAGCAGCATCATAGGAGCAGAGAGGCTGACGTTTCGGGCCTAGACCCTTCATCAGAAAAGGGGGAGGGAAAGGGGGTTCCAAAATAAATAGGGAGAGAGTGGGAGGCGGATAGAAGAGAGATAGAGGAGAGGATAGGTGGAGAGGAAACAAACAGGTCGAAGAGGCGGGGATGGAGCCAGTAAAGGTGAGTGTAGGTAGGGAGTTAGGAAGGGGATAGGTCAGTCCAGGCAGGACGGACAGGTCAAGGGGGCGGGATGAGGTTGGTCGGTAGGAGATGGAGGTGCGGCTTGAGGTGGGAGGAGGGGATAGGTGGGAGGAAGAACAAGTTAGGGAGGCAGGGATGAGCTGGACTGGTTTTGGGATGCGGTAGGGGGAGGAGGGGAGATTTTGAAACTTGTGAAATCCACATTGATACCATTGGGCTGCAGGGTTCCCAAGCAGAATATGAGGTGCTGTTCCTGCAACCTTCGGGTGGCATCGTTGTGGCACTGCAGGAGGCCCAGGATGGACATGTCGTCTGAGGAATGGGAGGGGGAGTTGAAATGGTTCGCGACTGGGAGGTGCAGTTGTTTATTGCGAACCGAGCGTAGGTGTTCTGCAAAGCGGTCCCCGAGCCTCCGCTTGGTTTCCCCGATGTAGAGGAAGCCACAGCGGATGCAGTATACCACATTGGCAGATGTGCAGGTGAAATCCGCTTGATGTGGAAAGTCTTCTTGGGGCCTGGGATGGGGGTGAGGGAGGAGGTATGGGGGCAGGTGTAGCACTTCCTGCGGTTGCAGGGAAAAGTGCCGGGTGTGGTGGAGCTGGAGGGGAGTGTGGAGCGGGCAAGGGAGTCACGGAGAGAGTTGTCCCTCCGGAAAGCGGATAAGGGTGGGGAGGGAAAGATGTCTTTGGTGGTGGGGTCGGATTGCAGATGGCGGAAGTGTTGGAGGATGATGCGTTGGATCCGGAGGTTGGTGGGGTGGTACGTGAGGACGAGGGGGATTCTTTTTTGGTTCTTATTGCGTGGACGGGGTGTGAGGGATGAGGTGCGGGAGATGTGGGAGACACGGTTGAGGGCGTTCTCGACCACCGATGGGGGGGAAGTTACGGTCATTGAAAAACGAGGACAACTGAGATGTACGGGAGTGGAATGCCTCATCCTGGGAGCAGATGCGGCGGAGGCGAAGGAATTGGGAATAGGGGATAGCATTTTTGCAGGAAGGTGGGTGGGAGGAGGAGTATTCTAGGTAGCTGTGGGAGTCAGTGGGCTTGAAATGAATATCGATTTCTAGGTGGTTGCCCGATTTGGAGACAGAGAGGTCCAGGAAGGGGAGAGAGGTGTTAGAGATGGTC